TTCCTTTCTCAAAAAAAAGAAGATATCGTAACTGCAGGGCAGGTGCTACTGGCATCAGCAGGTAGAGGCCAGGGATGCTCTTAAACATCCTACAACGCACAGGACAGCCCCTGTGCATTCTAGGATGCGTAAGAACACATCAAAGGATGTGTTTAAGACAACCAAGAATTATCTCGCCCAAACTGTTGACGGTGCTAAGGTTAGGAAACCCTGTGTGTAGCTTAAGCCTGCCCTCTTCTAGCAGAAGTGGAGATGGAGACATCAGTTCAGGGGCTGACCCGGGATCCCAGAGAAGTCCTAGCCCACACCTCGGCTGGGGGCTGACCCCAACTCCAGAGCTCCGGGGTGGAAGCCGCAGCTCTGGCTCTGGGAAGAGAAAGCCAGGCCGTCACTGCCCCCTGGGGGCAGCTGGCAGGGCGTGAAATCCCAGAAAGCCCTCCTTACCCCATCCCTTCTGACCTCAACAGTCTCACTCTTTCTGGGGCACTGGGACAAACTTCCCCTGGGCCATCACCCCCTTCTCCCCACGGCTGCCAGGTCAGAGTAGGAAGCAGGGAGGGAGGGAGAGGTACTCACAGCACCCATGAGCGCCAGCCCCGAGCCCACGTTGATGATGGTGGGGATGATGCTGAACTTCCCTGCCTGAAAGGCACAGACCAGGCGGGTGAGCGAGGCAGGGCCGACTGCGGGGTCCCCAGGGACTCTCCCAACACCCCTGCCTCAGAATGGGGGAACCAGAGAACCGGCCCACACACCTTGCCATTCACCATCACATCGAAGCGGATCCCGTAGGCTTTCATCAGGGTGCGGAACTCCACCCCAGCCTCGTCTCGGTAGTACCTGGCGAACCTGGGGGAGACAGGCCCAGGGAAGCCTCAGCCGCCTGGCCTTCCCTCTTTGGCAGCACAGACTTGGCTGCTCTGGGGACGTATAAGCACTCCCAGGACCCTGACGCTGGCGGCCGGCAGAGGGCTGCACACCCTCCCACCGAGCCAAGTGCCGAGACTCATCCAGATCTGTGGAATCCCTGCCCACATCCCCCAGGGGCGAGGGCTTTCCCACTGCACTCTGGGCCAACCCCTGGGCCACCAAGGCACTGCTGGAACTGACCCAGCAGAGGAGCCCAGCCTTGGCTTTGTGGCGAGAGCAGGGCAAGAGGAGACACTGGATCCACACCTCTCCGCAGCCTCTCTCCCTGCACCTCCTGCTCCGACACCCACCCCCAGGAAGGGGCGTCATAGTGCTGGCACCCAGGGACAGTCGTGACATGTGGTCAGGGGCACAAGGCATCAGTTACCTGAAGTTGTACCCAGAGGAGACAGACTTTGCAAGTTTGTTGTCCAGACGGCTAAAAGAATAGTGAGGGTGGCATTCAGAGGCAGCTTTATCAAGATCACAGTTCCATTCAATACGAATTCCTATCACACCACCCTTGATGAGAGAGAGACAGGGTCAGCACACAGAGCTTTCTGGAAATGGACAGAAGTCACAGGCCAGCTCTTCACTACAGCTGGGCAAGACACAGAAGGGCTCAGGCAAGAGGTCAGCCTGCTGGACCACCCTTCTGGGAAGTTCTTGCTCCACCCCTCGAGTGACTGCAAAAATTGCATCATTCCAGCCCCAGGAGAGAAGATAACGACCCAGGGCAAGCAGCTTTCACGATAGGCACTTTGTATACAAGCCGGGATGTGCCCATGGGGGTCTTTCTGGCCCAATTCCATCCAATGCCCCACGGACTCAGAGCTACACAGCAGGTGCCTCGTCTGTCCCTCACTGATGCCTGTGGTCCCAGCACTGCCGCAGCCCAGCTGTGTGTCACAGCTAATTCTGAAAACTGAGAGTCCCTGAGGGCAGGTGACTTTGCAGAGCCACCCCTGGCCCCCAAGTCCCCTTCCACACCCCCCTCCTCATTGCAGAGCCCAGGTCCAGAGCCCCCGACCCTAGGGAGGGCTCCCTGAGCACATGCCACCCACCTCCAGGGCCATTTCATGGAAGTTGCTCCCTGCCCAGCGGATCACGGACCCCAGTCGGAAGATGGGGCAGTAGTGGCTCTCAGGGCCAAAGTGACAGGATTTCAGGAAAGATTTGTTCTTGATGTCCATCACATTGCTCCTGGGTGGAGGCCACGCATGGCCAGGGAGATGAGGGTGAGCCTCGCTGATCCTGGGCCCGACCCTGGGAGTCACTGGGTCCCTTATCCAACCTGAGTCCTGACCACTTCCCCCAGCTGACACCATGCTCCAGCTGGCACAGAGCCCCGGCCCAAAGCAGAGGAAGGGGCACCCCAGCATCACCCAGCCATTCACACACAAGCAGACGTCACACACGCACACGCTCACACGTGGGCGTGCACAGCACAAGAGGGCCAAGTCTAGGCCCTCAGGGGCCCAAATCATGAAGAGGTCCCTTCCCCGGTCCCAGTGGCTAAGCCCCACATACTTGGAGAAGTTGAATTTGGGGAACCGAATGAAGTTCTTTATGAATATGGTGAAGTCTTCAGCCTCCTTCAGGAACGGCTCCCTGAAAACCAACCCGGAACAGCCTGTCCAGGAGGCCCTCCCCTTCAGACCTCCCCCAGGTTGTGACAGGGCTGAGGCCTGTTCCCTGGGTCCCCAGCGCCTTTGCCAAGGATAGCTAATCTGCTCGTGCTGCGGGGTCCTCAGGCCTCTCTGGGACGGGCTGACTTCTCGCTCAGAGTGAGGCTCCCGGAGTGGGCCTGTCTCCGCCCTCCAGCTGGGACCCCCTGCACAGGGCTAGGAAACGCCTCAGGGGCCAGAGGCTGCAGCCACTCACTCTGGCCTGGACTTGGTCTCCAGTGGGCACCAGGCGAAGATCTCACAGGTGCCCCTGGCTGGGTTCCCCGCACGCAGGCAGCGGCCCGTCTTTACTCCTGCAGGGGTGGAATAGGGACAATGCCAGGAGCCTCCCAGCTCCAAGTTCCCCTTCACCCCCACTCCAGTCCTGGCCATTCCAGGCCCTCACCATGTCCAGCTATAACAGCCTCGCCGGGGTGGCAGTCACTGTCCTCAGAGCACATACCATCAGGAATGTCTTCTCTCTGCCAGGAGAGAAGGGGCGCTTGGGTGGGGGTACTCCTCCCAGCCCAGAGTTAGGTCCCACCCCAGGGGTTAGAACAGGGGTTCTTCCCTGGGCCGGGGCCACACACCCTTTGAGAACCTGCTTCTCCCCCAAACAATGTGGGAACGGTGCACCGTGCACACAGCCTCCCCGGCCCCCTGGACTGGACAGAAAGTGGTTCAGAGGGCTGACCTGAACCGCTGCCAGCGGCTCTCCCATCCCCAATGCCCTGCCCCATGCCAAATCAAACCTCAGCACAGGTCTTCTGCCGCTGGTTGGGGGTCACGATCAGGTTGGTGACCACAAAGAAGACATTCTCTCCCTGAGGAACCAGAGAGGTGCTGAGAAACCTGCCCTCTTGGGGACCCTCCTCCCCAGGGCTGCTTGGCAGGGGGTGAGGCCTCTGCCTGAGTGTTAGGGACAATGTGGCCACAAAACTGGTAGACCCCACCCACCTGCTGGCTGAAGCATCTGCTTGCTGACCCCGCAGTCCCTGAGCAGACCCTTTGACATGTTTCTCCCAGGCCCACAAACCCTAACTGCCCCCACCCATGGATGGTTATTCTGACCTCCGTCCCCGGGATCCACACCCAGGTGAGAAAGAAGCAGGGGTAGTGATGGGACTTCCCTGGCCCCAGCCGACTGGGAACAGGCTGGGGAGCATATAGGGGGGTTCTCTGTGCCAGGCCACCTGACTAACAATGACCTGAAAGTTCTCCGAGCCCCATTTGGTCTCAACTGACTCAGAGACTGTTGGGAACAGAGTGGTGACGCAAGGCACAGTCAAAGAGGACAGGGGCTTGGTGTGGGAAGTAGGATCTGGACAGGGTGGCTATCTGCAAGCCCTGACAGCCATCCGAGGCCAAGGGAGACCATGGATGGAGGTCCCTGGGTAGGTAGCAGCTTCCCACATGACCCACCCCGAGCCAGGCCCTGCCAGCCTGGGCCCCAGTGCTAGGTGGGGTCTCAGACCTGAGATGGGATGACGTAGTCGGCAACATCCCAGAGCCGCGCCCCGAGCGCCGAAGTGTTAGTAAAGGCCACGCCCTTGACTTTGGTGACAACAGCACTCTGCAGGGAGGTGTCCACGTCTTGGTAACCCTTCTTTATAATGAACACCCATCTGTGGAAGGGGCCAGCAGGCGGGCATCAGCCACATTACTGCCTCCAGGGAAGTGTCCCCAGCCCAGAGTAGGGTAGGAGGCAGAGCAACTCCCAGGTGGGGTGGGGGCAGGCTCAGGACTCCACCTATCCCACCAGCTCCTGGGCAGGGGGCACAGCTCCCACTGCTGCCTGAAACCCCGTCCTGCAAGCAGCAGAGGAGATGAGCAGCCCCAGAGGCTGAGGCTCTGAAGGACCGAAGACCATGACACTCAGGAACCGAGGCCCAATGCTGGGCAAGCCTGGGCCAAAACCAGCTCAGCCACGTACTGGCCATGTGACTCCAGGAAGCCAATTTCCTGCATATAACACAGGGATAACTGCCTCCCTCCATGGATGGTGGGATGGTTAAAAGAAACAGTACAAAACCTGAAAACAATCATCAGGTGACCTGAGACAAACCCAGACTGAAGGGCATTCTACACAACTTCAAATCCTGTATTCTTTGGTACCAAAAACACAAGCAGTAAAAGAAAAAAATAGATAAATTGGCCTTCATCAAAATTAAAAACTTTTGTGCATCAAATGACACTACCAGCCAGGCGCAGTGACTCACGCCTGTAATCCTAGCACTCTGGGAGGCCAAGGTGGGAGGATCACTTAAGCTCAGGAGTTTGAGACCAGCCTGAGCAAGAGTGACACCCTGTCTCTACTAAAAATAAGAAAAATTAGCCAGGCATGATGGCAAGCACCTGTAGTCCCTGCTACTCGGGAGGCTGAGGCAAGAGGATCACTCAAGCCCAGGAGTTTGAGGTTGCTGTGAGCTGTGATGACACCACTGCACTCTACCCCGGGCAACACAGTGAGACTCTGTCTCAAAAAAAAAAAAAAGGTTAGAGTTGCCATAGGACCCAGAAGTTTCACTCCTAAGAGTGGAATTCCCAAAAGAATTGAAAACACATGTCCACACACACAAAAAAAATTTGTACATGAACATTCTTAGCATCATTATTCATAATAGCCAGAAAGTGGAAACAATTCGAATGTCTATCAACTGATGAATGGAGAAACAAAAAGTGGTCTACCCATACAGCGGGATATTATTCTAGCACAAAAAGGAATGAAGATCTGATACATCCTACAACATGGATGAGCCTCAAAAACATTATGCTAAGTAAGAGACGCCAGACACAAAAGGTCACATATTGTATGATTTTGTTTATATGAAACATCTAGAACAGGCAAATCCATAGAGACAGAAAGTAGATTTGTGGTTTCCAGGGAATGGGGGTGGGGGAGAATTGTGACTGACTGGTAACAGACACAGGTTTCTTTTTGGGGTGATGGAAACATTCTGGAATTAGCTAGTGATGATGGTTGTACAATATTGTGAATGTAGTAAAAAGCATTGAATTGTGTGATTTCAAATGGTTAAAATGGTGAACTACATGCTACGTGAATTTTGCCTTAATTAAAAAGTGGTAAAAGAGAAAAATCCTGTACTCTTCGAAACATGTCAATGTCATGAAATACAAAGATCCAGGAGCAATTCCTGATTAAAGGGGACTAAAAGGACAAGAATGCAAGGCATGCTTTCAGATTTTCTTTTGCTATAAAGGGAATTATTGCGACAATTTACCAAAAAATCTGTAGGTTAGATAACATTATAATGTTAATTTCCTAATTTCTTACTTGTACTTGGTTGTAAACAAGAGAATTCCTGCTCTCCCCACCATATGAGGACACAGCAAGAAGGCAGCCACCTTCAAGCCAAGAAGAGAGCCCTCAGCAGAAGCGGACCCTGCTGGTACCCTGTTCTTGGACTCCCAGCAACCAGAACTATGGGAAATAAATTTCTCTCATTTAGGCCAAAAAAAAGAAAGAATGAGAGAGAATTCCTTGTTTTCAAGAAATACACACTGAAGTATTTAGGAGTGAAGAGGCACCATGTCTACAACCTGTGCTTAAATGTCTCAGGAAAGATTGCATACACACATAGAAAGGGAGGACAACACCAATGGTAAAATGTTCACATTTGGGGAATCTAGGTGAAGGGCATTCAATACTTTTTTTGTGCAACTCTTGTAACTTTTCTTTCTTTTCTTTTTTTTTTTTTTTTTTTTTGAGACAAAGTCTCACTCTGTTGCCCTGGCTAGAGTGCTGTGGCGTCAGCCTAGCTCACAGCAACCTCCAACTCCTGGGCTCAAGCAATCCTCCCGCCTCAGCCTCCCAGAGTGCCAGGATTACAGGCATGAGCCACCGCGTCCGGCTGTAACTTTTCTGTAAGTCTAAAATTATGCCAAGACCCAAAAGATATTTTTTTAAAAAATGAGCTGGTACATGTAAATTTCTTAGCACAGTGAGTGCCTGGCACAGAGGAAGAGCTCCATGAACACAACTCATTAACTGATTGCTGATGTTGCTGTTAACGTTAGAGACTGTCCCGGTCAACCCCCTTGGTCAAGCTGGGGCAACGGGGGCTTGAGAGCAGAAAGCCACCTGCCTGAGGCCATGCAGTGAGTGGAATAGAATGCCCTGCACTTCACAGGGTGCCAGTAAGGGTTCTCTGTATAGCAGGTGCCAATCAGGATGTGTCCACCATCCTCATCTCTGGGGGCAAAGCTGAGATGCCCCGGGCCCAAGACTGTCACATCTCCAAGGAACTCTGAGAAGCCTGTGACCCTTGAGTCAACCAGCCATTTTAGTAGGGACATGCTGGGTGGGCCTGGCCTAGACAGAAACATTAGGCAAATACCCAAGGACCAACTTCATTCATTCATTCATTTCACGCCTATTCCCTTAGCAATTAAGTAATGCCAGGCTCCACCCTCATGGCATCCCCGGACTGGCAGGATGTCAGACGTAGACATTAATGATACCCCAAATAAGCTTATAATTACACTATGGGAATGCCAGGGGGAAAAGAGAGGGAGTTACTTGAGAACCCAGATCTGGATCATGAGTGGGCGCTCACTAAGGGAAGGAGGAAAGGCATGCCTGGCTGAAGAACACAGCCAGGTGCCCAGGGGTGAAGCTCAGGGAATGTTGAGTGCTTGGCCTTCAGGACAGAGCAAGGTGAGGTCAGGGCTGCCTGCCCAGGAGGAAATAGGAGGACTCAGCAGCATCCACTGAATGAGTAAAAGAAGGCGCATCCCAGTTGTCCGGGGCTACCTCCTCCCTCCACCTGTTCACCACCCCCAGGGGCAGGGGCTCCGAACATGCCTGGCTGAGCAACCTCAACAAGCTGCCCCCTTGGCTGGTGGCAACAACTCCTGCCAGGTGGGATGGTGACAGGGAAGGGGACAGCCGAGCTGGGAGCAGGGGTAGAGGCCTCTGGGCAGGACCCTCGAATGGGTACCAGAGAGGCTGGCCACGGGTAGGGTGACTTGACTGTAACTGAGTTCAGGGACATGCCAGGCTGATGAGTTGCTCCAGCCCCCAGTATGGCACTGACACCAGTGATTATAAATAACTTGCCCAGCGCCTGGGTCAGCTGCCAGGCCAAGGCCCAGGGAGACTCCTGGGGCGACAGCTGCCACAAGCCCCCTGCATCCCTGCCCCCTTCCTGTGGCCCTAACACCGGGGGCTCTGGCGCTGGGGTGAGGAGCTGACCATGGGAAGTCTCATAAATCGAGGAACCCAGCAGCCCCTGCCCGCACCTCACCACCTCCAGAGCCAGAGGGGCAGTAGAGGGCTCCCTGCTTACCCCACCCTTGCACCCAAGGGCCCGAGGAGGAACCCCTCCCCAAGCAGGGTCATAGAACCCCCACCACCACCACAAGGAAAACCACGTGCAAATTCCAGGACCCTGCAGAAAGACTCAGTGGTTGCCGCCCTCCCTGCCCACCCTCCTTGTCCCCCGCCCCTCCCCCATCTTCCCCAAAGTCTCCGGAGAACTCACACGACCAGGTACGTCAGGATGAAGAGCTGCAGCAGCCTGTAGAGCAGGCCCACCTTCTTGTTCTTGGCGACGACATACTTCTCGGTCTTGTAGTCGAACAGCGACAGGCAGAGCCCCTTCCAGCCCGTCCGCCCCATGGTGCGGCTCACTGGGACCTGCGGACCGCCCAGCCCCACGTGCGCCGCATGGGGAGCCGCCGCCTCCCGCTCGCCCGCCGCCCTGCCCGCCCGGCTGCCGGCTCGGCCGCGTCTGCACTGCAGCACCCGGGCGTGCGCGGCCCCACAGGCATGGACGCGGGCGGCGCGGACGGCTGCGGGGCGCGCGGCGGGGCTCCCGGCTGCGCCTGGCCGGCTAACGAAGCCTCAGCGGGGAGCTGGCTGGGGCGAGCGCCGAGCGGTGCCCTGCGACCTTGCTGCCACCCGTTCCTCCTCCTCGTCGTCGTCCCCTGCCTGACACAGTGACACCACTGGACCGTCCTCCCCAGCCACTGGTCTGGGAGACACTCCCGGAGGCCGCAGGACCGCAGCGTGCGGCTGCCCCGCAGGGAAGGAGTGACGGGCGAGGAAATGAAAGGGGGAAAGGCTCCTTTTAAGGCAAAATCCCTCTTTCTGTCCTCTCAAAGAAATCTCAAAGGCTTCTTCCTATCTATCTATATATTTTTTTTTCTTTCTTTCTTTTTTTTTTTTTTAAAGACACGGTGTCACTCTGTTGCCCAGGCTGTTAGGTAGGGATGAGGATAAACAGGTGTCAGGGCAGGCAGTAGGAGGATGTGGTCAAGGGGCGAGGGTCGGGACCAATAAAAACAAAGAGCAGAAACCGCAAGGGCACGATAACACTCTTCGGAAATTAAGGGAGGGGGAGGGGGGGGTAAAATCACACCTAACAGGTACGCTGCACACTATCTGGGGGATGGGCACGGTACAACAGCAATTTATGCAACCAGATTATTTGTACTCCCGTAATATTCTGAGATAAATAAAAAATAAAGAAAAAGAATAAGTAATGAAAATCTGCTAACTTGAAACTTACATATTATTAAAACTCAACAGTTACTGCAACCATTATTGTTTAGAAGTTAAACAAATCATTTTTTAGGGGGAAGAGTATTTTATCACTGACATTGTTCAGAATTGTCCCTGTAAACTGATAATAAAAAGAGGCAGACTTCTGGTAAATTTATTATTGTTTTTAAATTCTCTACAGGCAATACATCCCTGTATTGCCTATACTCAGGGAGGGTTGCTTCCACCACTCCATCCATCTAACACTTTTCCAGGTAGAAAATTTGATCATATATTTAAACTGATCATTTTTTTCTCTGCCTTTCCAATCTATACTTCTTAATATTTTTAAAGATGTAATTGCATCAATTAGAACTTCCAGGAAAGTGATAAGAGCTGGTGATAGGGTGTTCCTTGTCTTTTTCCTGGTTTGAATGGAGTATCTCTAGTGTTCATCATTAAAAATAATATTGGCAGTTGGTTTTGTTTAAATATATTTTATCGTATTAAGAAAGAATCCCTTATTTCCAATTTACTAGAGGATTC